TTTGAGCAGTTGCGAAATTAGCTGCTGTTGCCAAACCCTCTTTTAGAAGTGAATTAGTCTGTATCTCGATTACATGTTTGTTCAACAATATTAATATCAGGGGACTTCACTGTAGGAAATGCAAAATGTTTATAACATAATATAAATGCTGTACGTAGCACAGTCAGCGTTCAAAGCATTTCACACATTAACTTTGTTTACATTCTTACAACAGCGATGTAAGGCACCCCACCATTATCCCCAATATGTTTGGAAAATGTAAAAGAAGTATTTCATAGTAATAGTTGCTTGCTAATCATTTGCTTAGTTTCTGTTCATGTTAGTTTGTGACGCATTCTCGGTTACCTTTTAAAATTTGGCTTATTTCATTGATGATCTTGTTTGAGAACCCATCCCTTCCCTCGGGGTCCTGAAAGAAGAGAATTGCCAGAGCAGGCAAAAGATATATTGCTTCCATTTCTTTGATGAGGTGTGCCCTCCAGGAAATAGAATTCAGTCTCCAGTGACTGCCTGGGTTTTATGAGCTCTTGTTAACCTAATCCTGCTTTCATGTATGCTATGATCAGAAATATCCCAGTCTTCTCGGTATGCCCTCTTCATTTTAACACAATTATTTATATGAGAGTAATTTCTATCAAAACAAAACTGTGTAGAAATGGAGAAAAAGAGTGGCAAAGAAGACTGGAGATATGAATACCTCTATAGGAAAATGTGCAAGGATGGTGTCCTTTGCATCTCTAAATATCAGTCAGTAGGAAACTGGTTACAAGCAGGAGTCTGAATATTTCTGCTGTTCCCCTCTTCCACTTCAGCATGAGTGTGCAGACATGTGCACAGATATCCCATGTTCTAGCTTTTACAAAGTCCAGCTGAACCTAGGAAAGCTTCAATTGGAAACAAAGAACAGTACATAAGGAAAAGTAGTGATACTTTTCTGAAAGGGCATAAAAGACTGCTGTAGTCAGTTTTGAAAGAGTTGTCTTATTCCTAGAATATCTCAGGATTATCAGATGGCAGCAAAGGTTTATGTATGTTTGCTTCAATAAATTGGAAAGCATAATTCTGTCAAAATGCCATTTCTGAAGTAGCTATATGTTCCTTTGATTCAAATTTATTTAGGAAGTTTATATGTGGCCTCTCCAGAGACCTGCTCATGGAGGCTCGCAAGCAGAAACCACACCATAAAACTGCCAAAACAGCAATATAAATGATCAATATTAAAAAAAAAATACCCTGTAAAAAGTATTGGGTTAGATCCTGTCAAGGTGTTCTGTTAGAGCCTTCTGCTGGAGAAAATCACCTCTGCTAGAAGAAGCAATCTGCAAGATCCAACCCAACGACGTTCGCTCAACGTGATTTAGTATCTCAGCATGGTGTTGTTTTATATGTACTTTTCAGTGCTTTTGTGCCATGTACTACTGGGGGGAGGGGAGAGTACCTTTTGGAAATAGGTATTTAATTTAGAGCTATAACCAGGTATAACTCAGGGTAATTTAAGGTTTTTCATCAGTTCCATTGTCAGAATTGCTTTTTCCAGATCCTTGTTCTTTTTTTACATTAGTGGAAGAGAGAGGCCACTTCACACATTACTGTTTTCTTATGTAAATACCAAATAAACATGTATGGGAAAAAATGCATGCTGTCATATGCTATGAACACGTGTCTATTTTGCCATAAACGAAAAAGGCATGTGAATTTGTATGTTTTGTTTCTGGTTGGCTATGAGTAGATTTCTAAACAATTGTCCTCTCATGTGAGAAAAAGGAAAGTCTGTTTTCATTCTTGGAGTTATGGGTATCTACCCAAAGAATGAAAGAGAAGCATTTTGAAAGTGTCTTTGATTATTATATTGTTCTTGTCTGTTTGGCAAATCTTCATCTGCTCCAGCACTCTGAAGGTAGTGGTCAGAAATCTAAGCCTGGATGAATTACTTTTAACCTCACCATAACTGTTATTAAGAGGAAAAAACAAATCCATTGCTTAGTTTTAATGTATTGGAAGATCATGGATTACTTTTAATGGAGCAACAAGAAAAAAATAATTGGAAGGGACATCAGAACTGATGCAGATGGCATACAGGTTTAATCTGTTCTGCTCTTTAACTTTCATTCAACTTGAAGAATGGATCTTACCCCAAAATACAAACACCAGAATGTTTCTTTGTGGTTCTTTCTGGACAGAGATGGATGTGCTGCTACTGCCAGTTTCCTGCAAATACTGTACTCCCTATGCTGAATACTTCAAAGGGAGAGAAGGAAACTGTGCTGGATAAGAACCTTGAAAAACTGTTGCATCTGTTTTACCTTCGATTCAAGCAATAACAATAGCTGTTTTCCTTACAGAAGTGCTTAGGATAGTTGTTCATTGTGGGGAAATATACCTCCCTGATAAACTACTATGTAACACTGAGACTGTTTAGTTAGTTTATGGAACAAATGCCCCAGTCTGGCACTTTGGTCTTCTCTGTTAAAGAAAGATCCACATAGGCCCTTGTTACTGGAACAGCTTTAGGCATCGCCACCCCCTTAATTGATTGTTAAAAGATTCGTCTGAGTAGTAGAGTACCTTACAGCAAAACAGGTAGTAAAACATGTCTAGCGAGTCCCCGATACTGGTTTATACAACATATAAGTTCAAGAATGATCATGTACAGACTCTTCACTGCAGGTAATACATGTCCCAATAGACCAGTCTTTGTTAATATCACTGTGGCTTGCTTAGTAGTTCTGCATAAATATTACTGCATTAAATAGGACACAATGGTTTTCACCGGCATTACTTAAGGCTAGAGTGCTAAATAAAGAAACATCCTTGAAGATGAGAAATTAGTAAGAATTATTTTGTACTTCTATGGTTTTATTGTAATACTGTGAAATGAGGAAACAGTAGCTGAAAAGAATATTTTTTCTCCTTTTTAAAAAAGAGATAATAGTTGATTCAAATGGTTGTTTGTACAAGCCTCCCACTCATCTCTGCAGCCCTGTGCTTATGCAAATGGTTTACTTCAGTCCCTCACTGTTGTCAGTAGTGTTTTTATTAAGTTGAATATCTGTCTGCTGGTCTCATATAACAATCACATGGCTTAATGTTTGTTCTGAAACTTGATGGGGCGATCTCACCCTCCTCCCTCACGTGCAGGATTTTCCCTTCTGTCTTCTTTTTTTGCTGAGGAGTCCTGTTATCTAATTTTTTCTTATATGTTTTTCTATGGCTCTCCCTCCCAGTTGCTTTTATTTCTAGATGGATGGATGGATGATGGTCCAGCCCAGGAACTTTACACATTTATCTGCTATTTTGACATATTTATTGATTTACAACTGTAGACCTTTTAACCTTAGCTTGTTATTTAGTCTGTCTTTGCACATCTTCATCATGTTACATGTTAATGCTAAATAAAGAAACATCCTTGAAGATGAGAAATTAGTAAGAATTATTTTGTACTTCTATGGTTTTATTGTAATACTGTGAAATGAGGAAACAGTAGCTGAAAAGAATATTTTTTTTCTCCTTTTTAAAAAAGAGATAATAGTTGATTCAAATGGTTGTTTGTACAAGCCTCCCACTCATCTCTGCAGCCCTGTGCTTATGCAAATGGTTTACTTCAGTCCCTCACTGTTAAGTTGAATATCTGTCTGCTGGTCTCATATAACAATCACATGGCTTAATGTTTGTTCTGAAACTTGATGGGGCGATCTCACCCTCCTCCCTCACGTGCAGGATTTTCCCTTCTGTCTTCTTTTTTTGCTGAGGAGTCCTGTTATCTAATTTTTTTCTTATATGTTTTTCTATGGCTCTCCCTCCCAGTTGCTTTTATTTCTAGATGGATGGATGGATGATGGTCCAGCCCAGGAAACTTTACACATTTATCTGCTATTTTGACATATTTATTGATTTACAACTGTAGACCTTTTAACCTTAGCTTGTTATTTAGTCTGTCTTTGCACATCTTCATCATGTTACATGTTAATTTGCTATTCAGCCCCTGTCTATAAGTTTAAACCTCACCTACCATTCCAATATATTTGAAAAAGTGTCTGTGCACACAAAAGCTCAAACTTGAATAAACCTTTGTTGGTCTTAAAGGTGCCTCTGGACTCTAAATTTGTTCTACTTCTCAATTATGTTGCATTAGAAAAGTGGATCATAACAACTATTTTAAATAATCAACCAACTACCAAACATATCATACAGTCTTTTTAATGTCAGATATTAAGCAAGTTCATATGAACCAATTTTTAGGAACCACATTGTGAGAAGCCAAATAACCTAATATAGGAAACCACTTTACTTCAAATTTGGAATATATATATCCATATCACTTTGAGTTACTTGATCAGTGGTTTCTTTTATTATATAGAGTCCATATCTTCTTATGCCACATATTTATGGAAGGCCCTGCCTTGTCTCTCCATTTAGCAGCTATGCTCTTTTCTAGAAACTATTTTCCTTTTTTTGGCTTGAATGAGGATCTTCCTGGATCCAGTCACACTCTTAGCCTCCTTCCCAGTCTCTTCTTCAACTGTTATTTCCCATCTGTCATACCTTGACTGACTCTCTCAACAGAATTCCTTTTGAACAGCCTGTCATTCAAAGGTTCTCAGACTCTGTTAGGCATTAACCCTTGACAGTCCATCACCCCGGACTTTTCATATTAAATATGTCACTGCTACAGAGAACTTCCTAGGACCCACAGAAGTGTGGTTTCAGAATCAAACTGTCATTCAGATCTTACCTCTAGAGTTTTTAGGAGTATCATAACTACTAACTGGCACCTTGAACTCGATACCATTAGCAAAGAAATAGTGATGACAAAAGTGTTGCTAACAAAGGGACAATAAGGAAATTGCAGGCGTTGTATGCCGAAGTGCTTTTGGAAAGGTAAAATCTGGGGAAACTAGTACAGTAGGGAAATGTTTATCTGGAATTAATTCAAACAACTTGATTATTTAAAGCCTCTGATTTCTGTAGTAAGTATGTATTATCTCAAAACTTATTTTTAGGCCCTGGAACTACCATAACATCTGTGCCAGCTGTGAATGGCAAATCTGAGAGCAGTGATAGTGGAGCAGAGTCGGAGGAGGAAGAAGTCCAGGAAGAAACGGAGGAATTAAAGGAGGCTGTGGAAGGTATACTTTTATGCTTAATTGTACCTACCTTTTCACTCCTGGTTTTGTACTGTTTCAATTTGGTCAACTGGATCTTGGCTGCCGTGCAACACGAGAAAGCCTGCACAACCATGTCTGTCACCGTGGCTTGTAGTATAGCCTCCATTGTGCACAAAAGGGTGCTTGTGGTTGAAAACTGGCAGATATTTTAAAATGTCATGTATGGGATACACACAGGTACTTCAACAGCAGCATTTTGAGAGCCAGAATACTGTGGGAGTCCATGGTGCAGAGGCTAAATGCACAATGCAAGTGTGTATTGTGAGCAAGCCTTGTTCGCGGACTCTGGATTTGCATACTGAAATATCTATCCATGTATCAGTAACACTTAGCCTGTTCAACCAACCATAAGACTACTGTAACTTTTCCTGGTAATAAAATAAAGATGTTATACCAAGACTGGATAACATGTCCTCTCCCTAATAAACATTAGTCCTTGGAGACCCACTGTATAGCTCGATGAGGAAGGAGATGCTCCTCTAATGATGTTGGCAGGAGGAGGAGGAGGGCACTGTTCCCAGCAATAGCACCTACAGCATGGGAAGCTGGCTGTTTGGTTTGCTGCACTGCTTAGAGATGAGGTGCCAACTTACTATGTATTACAGTATTGTTGTACGTTACCACTTTTCAGCCTGGACCATAAGAAAAATCATGGGCTTGAATCTTCCTAAATTTTCTCATACAGTCCAGTCCTGTGTGGAAACTTTAACGGTCAGAAGGCCTGGGCCCTAGAAGTGGTTTAAGAATCCAAACGTAAGCCTGCAATCCAATGCCCTTTCCTGATAATAAACGCCCACCGAACCCAGTGAAACTCACTTCTGAGTAAATATGCACAGCTAAGGGCTGAATGCCATATTTTTAGCAGAGTGTTATTTTTAATGGAAAGATAACTTAATATGAGTAACAGGGACAATGACGGACAGTTCTTATAGTTATTGTTCTTGTTAATATTGTTATTGTTGCTGTTATTTTTCTATGTAAATGTTATTTTTTAAATTCAGTCATAAAAAATAAAAATTACTAGTTAAAAAAATCCAGTTTTCCTCTTTTTAAAACTGAAGAATTAAATATTGATGCAAGAGGAATGATTAAGAATGTAACTCTGCACACACTTACTTTAGAGTAAATGCTACTGAATTTAGTAGGACTTATTTCTGAGTGTATAGGCACAGAATCTGGCTCCATGGTTTAGTTTAAGATTAAAAAGTAAAGGTAAAGGTTCCCTTGCTCGAAAGCCAGTCAAATCCGACTCTAGGGTTGCGGTGCTCACCTCCATTTCCAAGCCAAAGAGCCAGCGCTGTCCGAAGACATTTCCGTGGTCATGTGGCCGACATGACTAAACACCAAGGCGCACGGAACGCTGTTACCTTCCCACTGAAGTGGTACCTATTTATCTACTTGCAATTTCTTGCTTTTGAACTGCTAGGTTGGCATTACTTGGCAGTAATGCAGCTTCCTCCCCCCGCTTTCAATCTGTAAAAATAATATAATACAGTTTTTATTGCTGATTTATTGATTGTTAGGTGCTTTTTCTGATGCCTTTAAGCCCGCTTATCTACGTGAAATGAAAATCCAGGTTTGTATGAGAAACAAGTGACGCCATTTGAACATTAATCCAATTAAAAATTCACAATGAAGTCTACTTAATGTGTATTTGGGGACTCTGTTTTAAATGTATCTCTGCCAACAGATCAAAATGAAGTTATATGAACTAGTCCATCTTGTAGTGGGATAATATTTGAAAACATGTTTTCTTCTTATTTTGTAGAAAGTAAAACTATAGAAGAGGAATCGTCTGTAGCCCAGGAGGTGGACAGTGTTGTTGCCAATGGTGGCTGTGATGATGACACTCCTAATTCTGACTTGACCAATGGAATACAGACTAAATCTGCCCTGAATGGTATAAATGAAGATGAAAAAATTAAGAAGAAAGACAAATGCCTTGAACTACCTCTCAGATCTCATTTTGGTTCTTATCACCAAGGTAACAACATAAGAAACATAAAAGAAGCCAATGTTGGATCAGGCCAATGGCCCATCCAGTCCAACACTCTGTCACACAGTGGCCAAAAATACAGATGCCATCTGGAGGTCCAGCAGTGGGGCCAGGACACTAGAAGCCCTCCCACTGTTGCCC